CGTCTTTTAAGTTTGATTTGAGTGCCACCGCGGAGAGCGGTGGTCGTAGAGGTGTCTTTGGCAACCGGGCCACAGTCCACCGCCCATGCCATTGCCACCTGGCACCCGYCATATCTAGAGAGGTGGATATACTTACCATACTCCTCCAAATTTCTGAGAGGTGAGTGGGAGGGAGCAATAATTTCAYGAGTGCTTGGTACAACCGAACACAACGACGAAGCAGCCACATTGCAAACCATGCCAATACCCCTTAACCATGATGGGCACCCCGTCTACTGTCGCGCGCTAAGGCGAAACCGTTGACCAATTGGAATCGGTTCGTTCGACATGAGTGAACGAATGAATCATTCAGTATAGAAAGATGCATGGGATAAGAAGAAATTTAGCTCAGGACAGCTTGTATCAAGCTATTATAATGTCTAGTATAGAATAAGGCGCATAGATGCATCATATTTTTTGTAATAATAGTTGTAATAATAATAACGATCCTGTGTGTTGTAMGAGTGGCAACTTGGAATACTGGCATTATGGCCGCGAAAATAAAAACGTAAATCATCGCCTTCTGGAGCGAAAAATAGTTTAACAGCAACTGTCATTACTGGCAAAATAATTTTAAATATTTACATATCATAACATAATTTCTCTTCCAGAGTTTCAGAGGATTAGTGCCCCATCCCCGCTCCTCAAGGCCAAACAGCGTCTCATGATTAAACAAATTATTATTATTTTTTGAGAAATAAAAACGCAGGGATATAAATAGCTAGAACTGTCTAACTGTCTAGTAACATTAAGGAAATATTTGAGCTCCATTCACAGATATTCTTATCATGTGGAGATCGGGTTAAAAGCTAAGATGTCTTGTTATCCTAGCCATCAGTCGTGACAAGAAATTCAGTTTGTTGGCATTAGTAAACAAATCTTTGAAACCATAGAAATGGCGAAAAGAAATGCCAGCAAAATTTCAGCTGTTCCCGCTATGTTTACCCTTGTCTCAAACGAACCAATCAAAGAACTGGATATTTTTATCCAGCCAACCAGATTTGATCCAGCTGATGCCTTCTTGAGACATGAAAACAAAACCTGTCACACTTGGAAACATAGTAGTTGAGGAGTAATTTTTACCGAAAGCCAGATGAAAAGTGGTATGTYTTTTTAAAATACCATATCAAAATAATGTAATCTCATCGTATATACCAGAATGAAGCGAATGTAAACGTTAGTTAAACATATTTTTTGACAAATTTGACCATAATCAAACGAAATATTGAGTCAGATATGCTAATAAGGTTATACCAAGTAACGTAGCACTTATGTTTGGATTAGATGAARAATACAGCCATCAGAGTGTTCACTTCTCGTTGAAGGTTTATCGAGTATTAAACAATGGCTGGATGGCTAACGTAGAATGTCAGCTTCTCATAATAGTGCTTGGGCTTCTCCAAGGCTCTCAGATCAAGAAAACAATGAATATGATGACTCAGAACCGGCTAAATCGCTCTCATCCAGCAAGAAACAAAGACATAAATACAAGATCAAAAGACTGCGACATCCTACCGATTCTTTCCTTTTACTAAAGTTCTTTCAATTTCTCATTGCCTTTGTGATGAATGCGGTTCTCTTTGCTATTTTTGTGTGCCTTTGCTTGACTGTTCTACCGGTTGGTCTTTTCGTTCGCAAGCTAGTGGTATCTTGCTGCGTTCGGTTTAACAGCCGGAATGGAAAGTTAAAAGAAGCAAGTTCTTGTGATGCCCTGTGGTTGATTCCAACATCTTATGTAAACACTAGCCAAATGTCCAGCATTTTTTTTCTCATGGAAGGTGACATTTCAATCGAAAACATTCAAGAGTTTATCAGCGATAAATGGCTTTACTACTGCAGTATTCTCAAAAGACATCGTTTTCCTAAATTAAGGAAATTCGCCTTGAGTGTGTGTTCGGGATTCGCATGGAAGCAGATTGAGAATTTCCGTGTTGAAAATCTAGTTTGTCTATCACAAACTCGTGAATTAGAATTAATACTGGACGAAGAAGTCGATCTGTTAGAAGACTCCCCACATGTAGAACAAATCAACTCTCATTCTGACCGCAAWGACTTGTGGAAAGTCAGTTTATTCCCTAAGTTTCTCAACTCCAACGATACTGGTGTATTGTTCCAAATGCACCCGAGCGTGAGCGATATTTTTCCTTTTTCAAGGCTGGTATTTGAAACTCTAGGCTACAAAACTGTATATTTGAAAGATCGATGCTTCCTAATGCAAAGACTGTGTTTGTATTTGTGCACTGCTTTTGTAGGACCTTCAATTATCCTACGCCGTTTGTTGTGTTCGCGCGCGAACACTGTGCTGGACAAGAATAATARTATTGCACAAGGGTCGTGTGGCTACAAAAAAGTATTATGGAGCGACGCCATCGACATGAAATGCGTCAAAAAGATCAAAGACATCACAAGGACTAAAGGTAAGACAACTTATTTTAAAGAATACAGTTTTAAGAATTTTAAATCGATCATCATTGACGTACAGTCATGTTTGTGTTTAATGGCGGTTCATTTGTCATGTGTTTGTCAACTAACGATTCTCATCATGCATGCATCAACACCCGAGGGTTAATAAAAATTTTAAAATCATATAATATCAAAAAAATCAGGGATAAGATGACACGGAAATAATAAAGTCTCAGTGTTTTGTATAGTCGCTTTTTTCGCCGAGATCTTGAATGACACTTTGAAACTGAAATTATTCAGGCTCGTGAACAGGCTTTTTTTATTCGAAATATAAGCATATTAGTCATGATATATATTTATATATATAGGGTAATTTCTTGGTATTCTACGCCAAGGCTATCAGGAACAAGATTATCATTTCCAGTAACTCACTTACGTGTGCACATGGTTTTATATGTATTATAAATTATAATATATCTGTGTTATTTTAAAAAACTACAACACTTAAATGTATACCGTGTGCAGGTGGGCACGTGTAATATTTAATTTTGACTTAACAAAATGTAGCTGATTTTTGAATAACAATCAACTCAAATTGTTTACCACACTTTTCATAGAATAATGAGCTGCATGCAATGGTGACTATTTCAAATTACTGAAAACTTTTACTTTAGAATGAAAAAAGTTCCATATCAGCAATAAAAATAAAGCATCATTTGCACATGGCTCTTTCCTGTACTTATAAAACATACCGGGAGCCTAAGCCTAGGTCCTAGAGTATTTTTACTTATATAAACATGAAAATGAAAAATTCTCAAGTAAAGTACATTAAGATATTCAGGTAAATTATTTAACTAGCTTATTCTTGTTCTCAGGTTTTCCTCCCACGAAATCTAATCTTAATTAGATTTGACATTTGAATTAGTTACATATGTGACTTTTATCAGCCTAAAGGTTGTTTGGATAAAATTTAAGGTTGAATTTGAATGGCATAAATATACCATCAATTCTAAAAAGGTTGTCGAAGCCAAAGGCACTAGCCAATTAAGGTGATAATAGGTCATTCCAAGATCTAAGAATAGCTGGAATGACTTCTTATTCTTGTCAAAAACATGCAGCTTAGTGTTGAGATATTCAGTGTTGTTTGTAGTTTGCCTATCTTCTTTAACTCTGACAATATTTTTTTCATATAAAAATAAGTGTAGATTGAACAGTTCAGCTATAAAATCCAGCTGTTATTTCATAATAGAAGAAACAGCTGACTAAATAAAATTAAATAAAAATTTTTTCAAATGAAATTTTTTTTCGAAAAATACATTTKAAGTCCACATTTGAAGTCCACATTTAGGTTTACTTTAATGAATTTGCCAGATAATTGCAATTATAGTATAAAGGAAATGAAAAGCTAAATATTAATTAAGATTCAGTGAGGGAGGAACATATCTTTTGTCTTACTTAATGGACACTTCTCTCCTGAACAATAAGTTATTGATTGTAAATATTCATACTGACAATGTAAGGCTTAGATCTTAAAACTATCTATAGAAAGAAAGTGGAGGAAAATTAAGTATACATTAGACATTTCCCCYCTGTAGGCCTAAGTGCCAAAGGAATGAGTTATCTTGACATATAAAAGTCTTAGTTAAAAATGCTGATCTCAAATCTTAAGCTCTTGTGGCATGCATAACAATAATGTGCTTTACAATAATTCTGTGACCTGCCGACTCCAGACGGCAGGGGTTTTGGCTTCTGTCAATACAACTTACAATGAGCTGAGTTTATTCCGATCACAAAAAACTGATGAAGAAATTTCTGTGCCTTGAAGCMATTTTCACGTGCTGTTCGATGGCTATGAAGTGCCAATAGTTCTTTTTGATCATGATGTAACCCCGAAGTTCAAGCATGAATCGAAACAAATAAAAATATATTTATTGAAAGACATAATTTTCTTGAACATCTTATTATTTTGATGGTACATTTACTATTGGAGTCAAAATACCTTGTCCATTTATAGGTGTGGAAACAGTTGTCTCTGATTGGTTTGTCATGGATTGATTACAATTTTGTTATAGCTCATGCAGATTGGAATGAGCTCGGCCCATCGTAACTTTGATTGACGAATGCCAAAATGCCAGACCTAGTATGTCACAGAATTATGAAAAGCGCTGTATCATATATATAAGTATATTTTAACAAAACCATCGATGTACGACTAGCTAATATAACCTAGTAAAAATACATTTAGATTGCCTCATTWAAAAAAAACATGAAGTATAAGCTGTTTTACAGTTGTCATGTAATGCAGGAAATCCATCTTACATTTTTTTTAAATAATATATATTCATTGTGCATTCAAGGGAGACTGCCAGCAGGGAACAAACATTTTAGTCATCGAAGATAATTTAAGTTTTAATTATAACAGCTAGAAACATACCAGAATTTTTATGGATTGTTAATTTAAAATTAATGAATATATTAATAGTGTTGCTTTTGCTGSTTGTGATGGTGATAATAATTTGATAATCCTTTAGGAAGTGGRTGAACAAATTCAGAATGTTTAGTGATTTCCAATTTGGCCTGGCACATTTGTATTCACTCTACCACTTAATAAGAAGCTGGAGGAACTACAGAAGTTAATGAAGAAATAAAAACGTGTGTGTGTGTTGCTTGCAGTCATGTTATTACGTCATTTAACTTCAAACATTATTTATAATTGAAAGAAGGTAACAATCCCATCTATTAGTCATTTATATGAAGAGCAGTCTAGCTGTAATAATGTATTGTGGTGTAGTAGTGTCCTTACCATAGGATGAACATCATGACAAAAACTGAATGTTGAAATATTTAATGGTTAAATAGATTATATTCAGTACACATGTGAACTATACTACGGTATTGCATCAGGGTATCTTGACCAGGGTATCTTGACCAGGGTATCTTGACCAGGGTTCATATTGGGAGCTGGGGCTAAAAGAGCTGTAACTAAAGAAAAAAAAACAGAAGGAAAAAAACAAGAAAGCCATTGAAGCTTACTCATGTCTTCTGCAGTTACTGTTAATGAACAAAAAAAAAGGTTGAAATAAAAAAAAATGACAGAAAAGTAATGTTTATACAGAGGAGCTTCAGTGAGGTAGTGGCAAGAGTGTTTGCATCTCAGTAATGAGACCAGGGTTCAATTCCTGCGCGATGTTGCATGTAAGCATAGTTCTTTATTGGTTCTCTCCTGTGCTTTGAGGGTTTTTCTCTGGGTTCTCTTTTTTCTTTTTTCTTTTTATTCCTCCATAAAAATCAACTTCTAATTTTCAGTTGAAATCCAGTGGGAAAATTGCCACTCGGTAAAACCACTCTTGATTCCCACTTATTTATTTATTCTTATTTATGTAGCAGGCAGCTTCCATAGAACCCAGGGTAAAATATTGCATGCATTTAGCAAAACAACTACATCACTTTCCCCAGTCCATCCACAATTATGTTATAATATGCATGGTCGTAAAAATATTTTTTTCTTTTAAATAATATATAATGATCAGTTATATTAAATATTTGCTGTCGGCCACTTCAAATCAAGAATTTTTCTGTGACTTAATATTATCAAATTCACTTGTTATATCCTGCCATTCACTTGCCTCTCACATTCCAATCATCCCTGCCAACTGACATGATACGAACTAGATTGTCATTGAAGGAATAAAATGAACTCTTTACACAATAGTCATAAACGTCTTTTCATCACATTGAATAATGAAAGWGAGAGACCCAAAGCTCCAGCTCTTCCTTAAAAATATTATATATACTCGACCCATTATCATGAGCTTTAARAAAATTTTGAAATTTTGAAGCTAACAGTCCTATATCCTTAAAAAAAAATATTTATGGCTAATATTTTTTCTTACTGTACCAGCTTTTAGTATTAACTATCTGACTCAGACACGCAATTAAATTTTGTGTAAATAGAATTGGGAATTGAGCTTTTTTATGTAAATATTGAGTCGCGCAACTTGATGTGTGTAAATAAAGTAAATTTAGTACCGAAAAAAAGATAAACAAAAGAATAAGAGGAAGAAAATCTAGAGATTGAATGATTTTGAGATAGAAGTCAAATAGATGGAGGTTTTTTTGCAGTTTTTCGTTCATTTGATATGATTAACAGTTGCTTCATAGACCCATTGATAATAAAGTAAAACCWTAACATATGAAAAAGAAAAGCAACAAATAACAAGATTAAAAGGCTATAATAATGAATTTGAATAGYATTTTTTAAATTATTTATACAGATTTATACAGGAAAAAAAAAATACTCAGTTTGATTCCTAACATTYTATCAAATAGTCGGCAGCAGGGATGTAAATGATGGCTAATACTAATACTAATACATCCATTAGAAGTAACTTACGATGATAAGTGGACTATAAGGGTTACCCTTGAGGCACTTTAGTACTTACGTAATAATATGGGCAAGAAGGCGAATACGAATATAATAAAAAATACCAGAATTCGTTCGTGCCAAAATCTCGGACTGAAGCAGGTAGTTACTTTAGTCTTTAGTAAAAGAAAAGGAAAGATGATGTGCTATTTTTGAAAAATAAGATAAAAAATAAAATAAACAAATGTATATAAGATGGTTGTCATGGCGCTTGAAGCTGCCGTGCATTTCATACGCTCCCGAACCAAAACTGTTGATGATGAATGAGATAAAATGGTTTTCCTGGTTTAACTTTGATTGGAACGGCAATGAGTAGGTTATTTGTTTGATTGTTTGATGGGTGAGGAGGCGACAATCGGTAGCAGGTCAATTTGGATAGGAATCAGCAAAGACGTAAGGATTAGATATCTTTCGATAAGAAATACTTGACGCAAATGGCCGAGATTGTATTCTGTTTTAAAGCAAAACTTGCTGTACATTTAAATGTTCACGGTTCTTCCTCCTCCTCTTTTTTATTTTTTATTTCATTTTTATTTTTTTATGATGTGAGTTCCAACATTCAATTAGTTACCAGTAAGGTTAATTGTATGACACAATGAGGCCTGGAACGCTCCATTTTCGTATCACCAAAAACGCATCGTTAATTTTGTGAATATTTTACACTAACGATCAATAACACATCACCATCTGCGCACTCCAATAATAGTTAAGACGTGCCCGTGTGAGTAACATCAGTGTTTTCAAGAGCTTCCTTTTTCTTCTGTTTTCAAATGTTTCCACTCAGAAGAGCGTTTTCAAATGCATGCATTTTCGATCGTTTTAGTGTGGAAAAAGGCCAAAACGTAAAGAAATACAAAACACAACAGTTTGGACTGGTTGTCGGATGTCATTTTATTTGACTACCCGCTAAGCTATATCCAGTGTCTTCACTGACAGCCCTTCTTTTTCTTTCTTTTTACGAGATTAGAAGTTTCAGTCTTTATCAGTAGAAATTGAAAATGGCATGCTGAAGGAAATGTCAGTTATTAGTGCCAAGAACATAACCTGTCTTGGTGACAACGTTTTTCCTTACTTTTTTGCTTAGAAATTGTGATGTCACGTCTATAACGAAACMCATAACGAAGCTGCGTCAATTTTATTATTTTTAAACATTTCACATTATATTATAAGTTTTAATTGGGATGTATGTGTTACCCATGACGTCATCTGTATCAAGTGGAGTAGAAGAGTGGAATATGATCCCAAATGAAGTGGTGTGTGTGTTTTATGGACGTCTGAGTCCTTTAGAATTGAAGTACGAAAATTGTACAAATTTTCATAATTACGGGATACAGACAACAGGCATCTTAGGCTTCCGCCAGTCAAATGGCCAACGGGAAGAGCGATAGTATATTTTAGATCCCTTGGCCGGCCGTTCTTGTCTCGAAGTAATTATGAGAATCAAAACTAGACATGCTAATTTTTGATAAGGGCATAGATTTGRAAAAAAACGTCTTGGAAGTAATCAAATAATATTCAGTCATCAGATCGGACAGCATGTTGCAAATTGTTATGCCCTGTAATTGTTACTATATTAATGAGGAGATCTAGACGGGGACTTGACTGGAGAAACGTTCTCGTACTACGTAGAAACACCTGCCAACCTCAACTAATCTCGTATTGTGTCCAGTTTTCTTACTCTCTGCTTGTTCTCGTTCAATTGATTSCTAATTTTACTTTGTAGTGAATGTTATCCTGATGTCATGTCTGGCTGGTGCTCTTCGCTCATACCTCCATAGATGTGGTGTTGTCAACCCAGATGATGTCCGTGTCAGTTTGCAGGACGATATTAGACCACAGCACGGTAAACTACGGCTTGAAAACTGCTTTTCCAGTATTTTTGTCAATCTTCCGTCTGGAACAGAAGGTATGTCTAGTATAATTCTGGCATGCATTAGATATGGGGTGACCTATTAGTAGGGCTAACTCATGTTATTCACTAGCTTGGTAAAAGACTTGTTTCTACAGCTTCAATGACAGTGATAACGAAACAAAAATGCTTTACTTTTTTGTTTTTCGGGCTTGAAATGCAACAATATGCAAAATGCAACAAAGCTTTCGGCAATCCAGCACTCTCGCATGGCTTAGACACAGCACTAACGTTTTTCACTGCGAGCAGCAATGTCTCACTATTCATCCCAGAGCCTTATCATTTAATCCTTCAGTTCAGCAAAACAAGAATGATTTTGCATCGGCTAATTAGTCATCTCATTAATATCTTCTGTTCTCCTCAGGGGCCGTTCCACGTCTTTGGGATACGAGAAGAAGAATGGAGGAGTTCTCRGGTATTATCGAAAACTTTTCATTCAATAGTTTTCTACGATTTTGTCTGGTTATTTTTCCGTTATCTTTCGTCCGACGCATTATCGATTATCTTCTGGGGAAAGCTTCTTGTTCGGTGACTTTTCTCAATGGTCCTAATACACCTCTGTACTTCAATGGAAAAATGGCTAAATTTATGACATTTTGGACGCCAAAACCAAATGGAAGCGGAATTGCTTTATCTCTAGCTACCCACGCAAACCAGTTACGATTAGGTGCCGTAGTGCACCAGAGACAGCAATGTGATCCAATTTTTCTTTTGACTGCATTTCAAAAGGAAGTTGAGAACCTCTCTAAACATTTATCACAAAGAACTTTGCCGTCCCATCTGAGATGGCGAGCCAAACAGCAGCTGCAAATGGAAGACAGAGAAGACCGAAATAGGAACACGAGTGAACCAGCTGTTTAAACCTAATTTCTTTCCCAGTCAGGCGATATTATTCTTTTTCATTTGTTTCTTTATAGCATGACTTATTATAAGGTCCTGTATTCAAGTGAAATTTGTATAGAAAATCGCATGACCTCGAGTACAATTCGTAAATAATAGGTACAAGTGATTTTTTGAAAATTCTCGTAATTCAAGAACTTTACAAACATACAAGTGCTAAAAAATACAATTTAAAATAATTACTAGAGTGCTCACACTAATATAAATCCGTGAAACAAATACTAATTTTTAGCACTTAATAGTGATAATTAAACAATACAAAACAAAGGATTCTGCATGAAATAGTACTAATTAGTGCTATTTAATGTTCACGGTTTTAGTGCGTGCACTCTAATTGTACAAACGTAGTGCGATTCTTCGTTTATAGCACACTCATCAAAATATTCGAATCATAGGCATTTAGCTGTATCTTTGGCCATTTATTCTTAGATAAGAAAATCTGATTAAGGAAAATTGAAATACTTAAAAAACTATGGAGTAGTTAATGATTAATTTTACTCCTCTTATCCAATCGGAATCGAGGAATTTTGTTGAGTGTACTACTATWTCTAAAATTTATGTACAAATGAGATTGAGAGACAATTCCATGATTCCACTTGTCATGGTGCATCCAACTTCTCGGCATTATATGAATCCTTCTAGGGCTCCCATCGTGAAAAGAAGTTGTTTGTGTACCGTAAACTGTGTTATAAGTTAAAGTAAAAGTGCGCTGCCTTGTAAACCTTTGTTTATGCTTCAAGTCACTGGAACGACTTTTGTTTATGAAACAGGAGGAGTGGTGTAATACCTTCGTATTTTGGTATCTCGCCTCCACAGTTCCTCTCCTCACGTATCCGACAGCACGCACTCGTGGTTCCATAAATAAAAGCAATCTTTTTTCTCGCTGGTCTACTATACCAACTACATCCAGCTGATCTGAAATAATGACGTAGAAATTACATTTCTGCAAAACTGAGGTTCATGAAGCCGAATAAATTGAATAAAAACATGCCCGCCATTRAAATTCAMATATAAAAGGCAATAATTTTTGTGTCATTGTTATTAACGACATTTTTTCCATTTGGTGACCTGGAAATCCTTAATTTTAAGAGGAAAAATACTCCAGTTTTACAGATTTTCTCGATTTTGATTGGCTAACATTTTTTTCAGATCAGCTGGATACTCTGTTTATTTACCATGTAATATTACGTTGTATATATTATATAGAGGCTTTACACCATCACATGATGGCAGCCATGACAGTAGGCACAACAATAGAGTCGTTTTCCCCTGGGAAACTGAAATCTTTCTCATGTAAATAAAATTAGACCAAATCAAATTATTCCTTCCTCTTGTCATGGCTGCCATCACGTGATGGTGCAAAACCTTTATAAACGACAAAACTGTGACATACTTATCAGAGGGAGGGGTATGATGCATCACAGGAGGTAATCCTGACCAATATCATGTTACGAAGCAACAGACCATACAACGGCAGATCTAGGATCCAGAAAAGGGCTTGCATTATTGTTATAAATTTTAAAGAGTGAGAGAAGTGATCTACCATCACCGTCAATATACGTGATCTCGCGATTTATTAATTGACCGTCTGTTGAAAAATAATCCTGGATCTGCCCAGGTTATGATATTGTACAATCAGCTTTTGTATTTATCGTGTATATAATTCGTATCTTATGTATATAGTATAAGAATGTACATTGAAAATGAAACCGCTGGCGATTTCTGAATGCATGCGTTGAGAAACACAGAATAGTTAGGGGATATAGGCGGCGGTAATGTTTATAGCATGTGAATTTTGCAAACTATTTCAAAAATAGGTTTCGGTTACTACTTTATTGGACTGTCCAATAAATGTCTAGTTGGCTATATAAATTACAAATATCCAAAACAAATTTTGCCAATCGCACATTTAGTTATTTCCTGTCCCTTTTCTTTTTTAACAGAAATACATGTATTGTATATAATCAGAATGCGTTTAGATCAGATCGATATTGCATATATATTTATAGATATCAGTAGCTTTCTTTGTACTGGGATTAAATCTGATTTCAACAATCCTCATATTTTGTCGTATTCTTTTGTTTTATCTTTCGAAATTTGCTATTTTTCGTTATGTCTTGTTTTAAGGAGCTCAAAATGGTTTTGCTTGCATGTGCTTGGTCTTTGTGGCCATGGTATTATGACAACAATGCGATATGTTGGTTATGTTGTTAGACAAATTCATAACTTATGAAAATAATTGATAGATAGCTAGTTTATTATCCTACAGATGGTTATGGGCTATCGATATMAGATGGTTATTTGATTGTCAATAATATTTACCATTCTTATAGCCACAACTTAAACCAACACTACCTGTTTTAATCAAAACCTAGCCCAACGTAGTGATCTTAACTTACCACAAAATGTAATTAGGAAATCAGGTTTAGCTATGGACGAACCTAGACAGGCCGAGCCTAAGGCTTTAACTGTTGTGTAGTTGAACAGGAAAGCATGGACATAAGTTAGGACGAAYGGCCTAATAAGGAAATCCTYCTAAAACCACACCTACTAAGCGAACATCTTTCTAGTCAGCTTCACTGCACCTTAAGCTCGTAGCAAACCTCTCGTATTTGTAAAGTTAACTAGTCTCCTAAAGGACAAGTCGAACAAAGAGAGGTATTCCAGGCGATCCCGGAGCTATTTCAGCCCAATTCTAACAATGTTCGTAAATGCTAAGAAGAAGAAAAATAAAATTAAGGAAGTAGGGATTGTCCTAAAACAATTACAACAAACTTTATTGATTTTTGAGAATTCCCTATTATAATTTYTTAAATATTTTTTCGTTCAAGTCAGAGATTAAATCGTGAAGTTAGAATATTTATACCAATTTTAGCCTTTTTTTCACCATGTGATTTTTTWAAATGAAAGCTATGGTTGTCACGGCAACGTGTCACGTCATATTTTTATTTTCATTCTTTCATATACATTCTTTGGTCTTCTGGGTCAACTTAACCATATGAAATTTTTGATGGTCATTTTTGTTACGTACATACTATGCCATTTCAAATAACACTTTCTAGCATCTTTATCGTCAAAATTTAAAAAAACCGTGCGCACCTAAAATACGTTTGGAATGTTAAACGTCGTGTTCTGACCAATCGCATGCGAGAATGAATCAATATTTCTAACTATTTGACTACGTCTCGTGAGTTGAAGACCAATCAGATATCGAGAAAATTTACAATTTTGATTAAAAAAACTTGTTTGGTCGCACCCCAARCCAAACAATTCACAAATTGTCTTCCTTTTAGCTTACTCGTTGCATTCAAACACCTTCTAGAGGCTCTGAAAAGGTCCCTGGATGTAAAATCGTGCTATTTTCGCACCATAATACCAAGAGGGTCGTTTCGTTATGATTTCAGCCTATTTTAGGTGCTGGTGTATACAATTTTACAAACTCGTTATGCTTTCAATCATGTGGAAAATGCTATCTTGATTTTTATCTTTGAACATCTTGTCATCAGTTTTCGGACCATTTGATACACCTTTGTTTCAATGTGCGTTTTCGTTCAAAATCGTGGTTTTCAAATGTTTTTCTAATTTAGTGCTTTGTCCGAATAAATTTGTAAATTTTTTTTTTTTTTCCATGAATGCTACCATTATTTATTCTAGTTCTGTTATGTGTGGTTTGTTAGAGCTAAAGAGTGGTCCCACTTGCTTTGCGATGGATTTGAAGTGCTTCAGTGTTGTCCTTCTATTCGACTTTCGATGGGAAATGTTTACCTTTTACCGAATTATTTTACCACAGCCATCCAAAGCTTTCATGTTGCAGTTCTTTTGAAAAAAAAAAAAAGTTAAAAGTTAAAAAAAAAAGTTAAAAGTTAAAAAAAATGAATACAAATAAACATAATTTTGTTAATTATCTATTGTTTTCTCTTTTATTTGCGATTTTGAGCAGACCGTGTTCTAAGTGACAGCAAACTTTGTACGACTGATTAGCGTTTAAAATCTCTATATGCTGACGCAGGCTGCCACTGTGCAAAGTCGATCCAACCAATCGCAAACGTAGATGCTTATATACGAACGGTCACTGATTCCTTGAGTGTCAAACCTTATCATGAAAGAAGGATCCGGCCATATTTCGAAGMGTCTTTCGATGGCTTTCTTAGAAGTCACGAGGTAAGTGATCGATAAGTTATTAATGCACGAATTGCGAGGCAAATCCCACGTCATATTTCACTGTCAACAAAAACTTTTTGTATGTTCAATCAAACCGCCCTTTCGCGAACTCGTGGATACTAGTTGTACTTTTTAGAGATTGGGCTACGTGTGCCCTTATGCTTGTTGACATTCCAAGGATTCGAAGTATTTCGCTCGATTTAATACTTTAAATGCTAAATCTAGCTGGTAAGATGAGTAATGGACGTCCTCATATTTTCCTTTTAGTATCTAGTTTGTTTAGTTCTTGTTTTTTTATCTTGTTGAGTTTTGAAGCGAATTCTGTGATAAATTGACTGTCTGAACTTCAAGAGTTTACGAGACGACTTCAGTCGATGGAGTCAAATGAGTCAACYCGGTGTCAATCAAGTATTGGAAGAAGATCTATTTGCTCATACTTTATCTATGAAGAAAAATCTATATTTAGGCACTGCCTAAAAGCGGAGGTCCCGATACGCAAGTCACGGGGTGCCCAATGTGAATGAATATAATGGTACAAATAAAATCGGGGGAAAATCTTCATTTTTTTCAATTAGAGATGAAGATAATGTCTCCCACAAGAAAAACCATGCTGTAAAGTCGAATCGATATGAGCTAGTTTTGTTCTTGAAAGAATCTTCGACAAAGTTTTCCATGGCCGACAATTTTTTTAACTTTCCTTCAAAAACGAAAGATAACTACAGTTAATCCAATTATTGGATACGAYATTAGGTTTAGTGAAATTTACCTTGGAAGTCTTTCATCGAAATCGAAATTTCGGAGATTCCCGAATTYTTCTAGGACAAATCAAGACTATAAGATTAAAACAGACTTGAAAACTGGTCAAAAAAAGGTGAGGAAAAAATAAGCTTACTTACGTCTTTTACATAACAATGTTTATTTTTTTTTTTTTACCGCAATGAAAATAAAAAAATAAATGCTTTGGTAACATCATCAGATAGAAAATTGGTTGGAGATCATTAATGAAGAAAATAAGGAAAAAAAACTGAACAGAGTTAGGTAACTACCATGAAGACTCAACAAAGCCGAAACGACAGTAATGACAACTAAATAAACACTATGGCGGTTATAGGGGGCAAAAACATTCAYAAGGTTAATATCTATTCGTACTTTAAAAAAAGGACTTAAGAAAAATAAAAAAAAGAATTAAAAAGAATCTTAAAACCAAAAGATCTGGGTAGCTATAAATTTCAGGTCACCCATCCAAGTAACGATCTCGCTCAAACGTGCTTGACTCAGTGTCTTGGAAGCCCAAGTTTTTTCCACTGGGCCACGCATTTCAGAAAATTAACACAACAATAGCCATGAAAACAATGCACCAGATAGACTAGATTATTTTCCACTTCAAATCAACGTGCCAGTGCGTGGCAGAGTGCAAGGGATTARCTGTAGATATGGTCTGGGGGCCGGCTAGTCTCTCCCCTGATGCTTCGGCTAGAACACAATCTGCGTAATCCGTACACCCAAGGGCAGAGGGACTTAATCGCCGTCATGTCCGAAGTCCATACGATGACCCAGCGGATGTCTAGGGGTATGGCATGAAGGCACTATATCTTTTTCTTCTCTTTTTCATTATATTGGAATTAATTATCTTATTAAAGTTGGTGGGCGTAGGTTCGATACCCACCGTAGAGTAATCTTTTTTCTTTTTTCTTCGTTTCCTCTAGACTTTTTATATATACTTATATATATTTTTTATATTTTATTTTTTATAACGACTGTTATTAGTTTAAAGAAAATAAGGATGTTTACTTCTTTCTTTAGAAAGAATGTCTTTTTTTTAGCTAACATTCAGCATTAAAGTCGACTGCTTCATTGTCGGCATACGTTTAGGAGAAAATATGCCGTCTAGTTTGTCTTTATCGAAAAAGATTACAAAATGGATATAATTAATTGGTAATAGAACTTCGTGTGGTGCAATTTTGGTCTGACATGATACGATCGATTAACAAGTTGTACTCACGCTACGTGGTCATGCAATTTTGGTAACCATGGAGTTGATTTTTCATGCCGCGTGAATAGGTCACTTCTGTCCGTCCGTACGTATTCCGGTTGATTTCAAAGCAAAACAACTTGCAAATGCACAAAAAAATGTCACATCCCCTGAAAGGACCTTCTTTTTAATGTGACTAGATGAAATTTAGGCGAAGTTAAAATCGAGACAATGCATGCTGCTCAGCGGTCTTCCCAACAATCTGCGGGAGGGAYCCAGGGCATTATCAGGGGCTTACTTGCCGTGTTTGTAGTGCTGGTGGATTTGAACCAAGAGTTTTTCTAGTTTTTCCCTGTTTCCCCCCTCTTTTTCACTGTAAATATGAGTAAAACCTCCCCAGAAACTTCCAAGTCGACGATGTCCTCTACCTTATCGTCTGGTTCGCCTTCAGCGACGCTGTCTCCAGAMGTTTTGGCGGCTATTCAGCTCGCTGTCAGCCAGGCAATGGCGGCTCAAAACACCACACCAACTCAAGGGTCTTTGTCGCTCCTTGATGGTCCGTTCGCCTCCACAATAACGTCTTTTCTAGATCCA